TATGTGGACATGTGGTTTTCATCATAGACCTCGCTCTTGTTTATCTGTGTATGCATCTGAGAGGAAATAAATGTGGATAAGGGTAAGGCAGGATGTGAGAGTGTATGAAGAGTATTACAAAGATGAGCACTTGTATCTATATGAAATCTAACCTACATAAATCGTGACATAGGTTTTCATTAATGGCTTGTCAACTATGTTGGAAGGTAATTTACATTGCCTTTCCTCCAACTCTTTCATTTCTTAGTGATGAGAAGCACAATCATTTGTTTTTCCTGAATCCAGAGGAACAACTTATATTTAAGAATATTATGCAAATTTATATGAATTGTTCTATATATAGTCTGTTCTATATAGTCTTAGGTAAAATTATATTTGTAGAAAACGATCTTAACCCAGATTAGTTTTACTCTATAAATAGTTTTATTAGAAACCTTTAAAAGGTGATTACAGTCATGGCTAAAAAAAGCAAAGTAGAGTAAGCCCTTCTCAGGCAGATTTTACTTTCCTGTTGCTTTTAGGGGGCAGGGAGCATGATTGTCTTGTTTCTTAGCTCATTTCCTTTGGAGAAAAGCTACACATTAAATATTTATGATGTTTGAATGATTATTTGCATTTTGAGTTTTTCCCTTTAGTACTGTGTACTTTGTAGAAAATCTATTTATAATATTTGGACTCTGTTAGATGTAAGCAAGGAAAAACATTCTTTTGAATATAAAGAATGATCAGAATAATTTTTAAAAACCCAAGGTTTGCAAGATTTTTTTTTCTCAAGTCACAACTGCAGCTCAGTCCCTTTTAGGAGTGTGTGTGTGTGTGTGTGTGTGTTTTCTGTTTTGACTTTCTTCAGACATAGCTTAGGGACTCAGTTTTAGAGTAAAATGATTCCTTTAATACCAGCTGTGGTCCCTAGCACTGCCTCTTCAAGCTCTTTTACAAAATGAGAATCATTACTTCCTCGGGAAGTCTAGCTACCTACAGTTTTTTTTTCTAGCTTTATTTACTTAATAAATACATATATGGAGTCCCAGCTCTGTTTAAGGACCTGTGTTAATATCTGGAGACATAAAAGAATAAATCAAACAGACCTTTAAAGACGCAGATGTCTTAGTCTCATTGTCATCTGTGAAGATGGTTTCTATGAGAAGTGGAAACAAAATGTAATGTGCATAGAGGTAGGAGCGATGGATTCCATCTGGGGCGAGAGGATGGACTGAGGGAGGTTGCACAGAGGAGGTAGCGTTTGGTTGGCTTTGAAAGACTAGTAAGATCTAGATGGGCAGACGTAATGGGGAAGGAGGGTTTTCTGAGCAGTGGGATAGCAGTGGCAGAGTTGTTGACATCCTGAGTTTTTCTTTGTAGATTTAGAGACTGGTCAGTAGTCCCCATGACTGGAATGTAAGGTTTTTGATTGACATGGTTGGTCAGGAGGTTATAAATTTGGTGCCAGATCATGGGACACTGAATGCCATATACTTTTTTTTCTTTTTTTTTTCCCCCAGCAACTTCTGCTGATCGCTTTTATCGAATAGACAGATCTCAGGTAAGTTTTCTTGAGCCTACTTGTGAAAGTGAAAAATTCCCAAGTAAAGATACTTTATTGGTAGCTAATCTTAAAAGTTTTTATAACATAAATGCTGAAACATTTACTGATTTTGGAATGGTACTCATAGCCTAAGCTATGATTTATTTGTCTTCATGCGACTTGTGGACTCTAGATGATATAGCTTGACCTTGCAAATGAGTACGGTAAATAACTAGGCTTGTGAATATTATCACCAGCTTGCACTCCAAATTTTCATGTACACTACCATTTCTACTGCTGCCTAGTCAAATGTTATGCCTTTAAACAATTGAGACCTTAGGGGTACCTCCAGGCTACTTAGTTTCAACTCAGCAATTCCCAGAGTTCGGTAACGAGAAAATAAAATTCTTATGCTCAATGATAACAAGTGCTCCCACTGTCAAAATTCTCCTGCAAAAAGAAAGTACAGTATAGAATTCAGTGATGAAAACAGTTGTGAACCGTGCTACTTACCCTTGACCAGGTCCTCGGGGTGGACGTCCAGGTTATTGTGCATATGGGGTGTCACTTCTTTGATATGATAGTATTTGGGAAGGAGAAGAGGCGAAGACACCTCTGGTTATACCTAACGAGATGCTAGTCAGCTAGGAATCAAACCAAGAGGGCTTCACCTCTCCCCCTCGCCAACCTCTTGCTATGACTTCACTTCCGGGAGGGAAGTCCACTAGTCAGACCCCTGAAAATACACTGTGGACATTTGCTGTGTCACAGAATTTCATGATTCCTCAAGACCAAGGATGCCTTGTTTTGTGATCCTTTAGATGATGGATTTGAGCATCCTGTCAATCATCTAACAGACTTCTTTTTCTTCCTTAGGAACATTTGCACTTTGTGATGGAGATTTCTCAAGATGAGATTTTTATTCTGGACCCAGATATGGTGTTGTCACAGCAGGCAGGGACACCTCACCTGCTGGTCGTGGAGCAAGCCTCAGGGTGAGTATATATCTCCTTTGGTGGTGTGATGGTAGGACTGGTCATAGGGTGACATCAGTGTCTCATTTTGCTTTGGACTTGACAATTCGAATGACAACAAATTGTTTTAAAATAGTCTGTTCCTTATCCATGGGGAATACATTTGAAGACCCCCAGTGGTTGCCTGAAACCGCAGATGGTACCAAACCTTATATATACTGTTTTCTCCTGTACATGCAGACCTATGATAAAGTTTAATTTATAAATTAGGCACAGTAAGAGATTTACAACAATATTGAATAATAAAATAGAACAGCTATAACAATATCCTGTAACAAAAGTTATGTAAATGGGGTCTCTCTCTCATTAAATATTATGTTATTAAAAATCATCATATCATCATTTCACAAATGACCCTCCAAATTTGGTTCTATTATTATCCCAAATCCATAGATATGGAGATTGATGCTTAGAGGGTTTTATAACTTTCCCAGTATTGCACAGAAAATACATGGAAAAATTGAGACTCAGTCTCAGGTTTTATGATGTCAGACCTCATGCATTTAACCACTATATTAAACCCACCAAAATAGTATTACTATTTGTAAATTATTCCAACAGTTCAAAACTATTTATTTAGAGCTTTTTAGGTGTCAGGTACTAGTGTAAGCACCTGGGAAACGAGCGTGCTAAAATCAAAAGAGACAAAAAGCCCTGCCCTGTGTGAAGCCTAATAAACCAGTGTTTTGCTCATATATGGAGGCTAAATAGTTAAAAGGATTTCCCTGGAAAGTACACACACATGTGCTCAAATAACAAAGACAAACTGTGCGCACATCCTCATACGACATAAACAGACATACTTATTTAAGTAACCCTGTGACCGTTTGTCCCTCTTCACTAATTTAGTTGACCATCGCTGCTATTTCTGATTATCTCTCACTGGGCCAGGGCTGGGGGCATCAAGAGAACACAGAAGTGGCGGAATGGAACAGGTGCAGATACATAGCTGTGTTTAGGAATCCGGAGCTGGTGACATCAGAGCTGTCCTGGCATGACAGGACCGCCGAAAGGCACACAGGGTGGCCCGACGTAACCCTAGGAGTCTCAGAAGTTGGTAGAGGAGACCACCTTCGTAGTCCATGTCCAATAAATCGAGCCTGTTGGTTGTGGGGAAAACAAGTGAGAGGCTGTGTCCTCCTGCCCCACCTGATCTGATGAGAGCGAATACCTTCCGCCAAGTCCACTGTGGGCCTTGCCCTGTCAGTCATTCACCCCGGGTCAAATAATAGCCAGAAGAAATGGCTTTGTTCCGGGTTAGACCTCTATTAGCTCTAGCTCCAAGTAAGTAGTCTGAAAATCCACTAGAACTTGACTTAGTCCCTTTCTCATTTCTCATCAGTGGCCCCTCTGGAAATGAACTAGGGACAGAGAAGCAGTGACAGAGGATGGTCTTTGTCATTTTCTAACCTGCACTTCTGCATCAGGCTCCGTTACTTTTCATTCGTGTCGCGTTTTAAATTACTTCCTCTTGAAATTCAGTTTTCTCATCTGTAAAGAGGGCCAGATCGTACAAGTAGCTCATGATGCTTGAGAAAATTGACGTAATAAATGCAGAGTATCTAGTAAAATACCCAATAAAGATGAATTTCCCTTCTCACATTTAGAGACAAGAACCATCTTAAGAAAGAGTGGAATTAGGTCCTGTGGCTGACTTGGCTTAAATGCCCTTCTCTCTCCCAGAATGTCAGACTGGTGGAACCCTGCCCTCCGGAAGCGCATGCTGAGCGACAGTGGGCTGGGCACGATCACTTCGTATTATGAGGACTCAGATATGAAAGATCTCAGCCCCTCCCGTGTGCTACAGTAAGAGTGCTCTCTCTGTCCTCTCCTGTGTGCCATCGTGATCGCCGGGGGTGTCGTGTGGGGTCTTCACCAGTGAGAAGGGTTGTCTTTTTGGTGTTGTTCACACTGCCTCCTGGCGGTCACCCCGTGGTTTGACATTTTATTCACTTCGCCCACTTTTATCCACCCAAGCTCCTCTTGGAGCTTCACTTTACATTTCTCTTGCGTCTTGAACCACATTGAGAACGTTCATGTGGATCTATTAATACTTTCAACCTCCTCAGTGTTTGCTTTACTGGAATCCAGTGTTTACCAGATGTCCTTATGTTGGCCGCATCATGAAGACATACATGAGCGTGATCATGAACAGTTTGGAAGTGACGTATAGTTTTCATTTGTATGAATATTTCGACGTGCTGTTAGCTCTGTTTCATTTGCGTCTGGCCCTGAGCCTGTGGACTCGGCTGTATAATACAGCCGAGTGGTGGTGTTGGCTGCAGTGGACTGCCGCTCATGTGGCTCCATTCTCTTGGGGCAAACAAGGCCACCTTTGTTCATAGATCAGCATAGCAGATGTGCTTTCTGTTTAGGTCTTATGATCTGAAGTTAGGTTGGAGTTTGCAAGTGTTGGCACATTTGTGTCCAGCGAATCCTCCCTCCTGTTTTTGCAGGAGCAGGTTTTAGGTGCAGGCTATGGTCACAGACATTGTTTGAAGTCAAGCCTATCACCCTCTTCAGAGATTGCAGGAGGTTTTAGGTGCAGGCTGTGGTCACAGACATATCCTGTCACACCCATTGTTTGAAGTCAAGCCTATCACCCTCTTCAGAGGTTATGCAAGTTCATCACAATCCATGAAATTAGGCTGGTTCCCACTCCCCTAATCCAATAGGGACAATGGCCTCGTAACCATGCTGTCTGACTATTTTTATGAAATAATAAGATTACTAAGATGCTTAGAAGCCTAGGGTTAACTGAAGAGGCAAGACAATGCATTGTTTCTAAAGGAAAACAAGAAGCAATTTCTGTATGACAAAAGGGAGAAAAATGAAAAATCTGAAGCTATTTCATTGATAAAAGTTGTACTCAGACACTTTGAGGGCAAAAGGTGACTTCATTTTAATTGCTTTTCTGTACTTCCTCTTATTTCGTTGAGTAAAAAAGGGAAAGGAAAAAGTGAATTTTCCTTTTTAAACTACACTCTTAGTTTTTGATGGCATTTTGATTGCTTACAATTCAGGGTGTTTTTCCATTTCTTTTTTTATTCAGAATTAAGGCTTGTGAACCAAGATGAATCAGCCACCCATTGATGGCTAAAAAAATTTGGTCATCTAGCTGTGGACAGATTTATTTGAAAATCCAAGTTTTAATTAGCTGCAGAAATAGAAATTACGCCTAGACAAACCAGATGAGTGTTTTAGTTGTTCTTGTACACAGACCATTTCAACAAAGTAGAATATGAGCTTAATCTAGTTTCCTATGCCCTAATTTTTCTATATATAGTGTATTAATATATCTATCATAATATATAAAGTGGTTGTTTCTAAGTAAGTATTCTTTCCAAGTATCACAAATAAATGTACTACTTTATATAATACCCAAGTTCTTAAACCTCTATATTAAAATCAACTCTTATTTTTTATTTGGGTTGTATTATTTTTCAGGGACTTCTCTTAATTGTTTATTACTCTGTAGTTGGCAACTATCTGTTTTCCTTGTCATTTATAATACCGTATCTCTTAAAAACGCTAGAGCAACTGACTATGTTTAAAAAAATTTCAGCCAAATCACCTGGAAAACAGACAAACAAGGTAACATTCAAACATTCATCCAGAGCATCTGAGTCTTTCCAGCTGAATCTCTGGACAGGTATTCCTACCCCAGGCTTTGTCTGGATCCCTGATACATAGAATACATACATGAGCATGATAAAATGATTGTTTGAAATGGCCTTTAAAAAAAAGCATAAATAATTTACCCTACCCTAATTTGTCTATTAATTCTTTAAAATATTTTATCGTGTTCATTAATTTCTCAGGAAGAACATCTCTTTATTTCCTTCACAGAGTATCTCTGATACAAATGGGTATAACTGCAGTTATAGAACAATGCAATTATATATAAATATATAATAATAGATAATACAATAATGCCAGCAATAGCTAGTATTGATAAAATACCTCCTACTTGCTTTGTACCCTAGTTAAATAATCTTTAATCCTTTCAACAACTTTTACATCTCATCATTGCTTACCAGTTGAGCAAACTGAGGCTCACAGGATCAAAATACTCATCTTAGGTCACCCAAGATAACAAGTCTGAGAACTGTGGTTTGAATGAGGTTGGCTTGACTTCTGGCTCCATGTTTTTTTTTTACTGCACTACACTGTCTTCCTGAAGGGTCAGTGCAGAGGGAGGATTCTCGGAGCCCCATGGCCTGAGAAAGTTTTACTTTGGCTTCTACTTTTCTTTTAGTATTTGTAAAGTGAAAAATTCTACAATATGCGGAGACTGTATTGGTATGTGCATATTTACTTAACCATATTTACTTAACCAAAAGTAAATATGGTTGAGAAGTAATTTTAAGATGGTTATTTTTGCTGTTTAAAAAGGATTGAAACAAAAAATGGTGATCATAAACATTTATTTAAAATTTATTAAGTATATATTAAATACATCTCTTCTTTAAAGAAGTATAAAAATTCTATGAAAGATACTCATGTGCCAACCATCATTCTATATCTTGTTATCTTTTTATGTTATTTACATTAAGTCTTTCAATTCATAAACAACATTGAGTAGCATAAAAATTTATATTGTTTTATTTATTTATTTTTTTGTTTCATATTGTTTTATCTTTTTACTTTTCGGCACCTATATCATACAAATGCATATACTTTTGGAGCTTGCCATTTCATTTAACATCATCATTTAAAAATTTATCCATATTGATATTTGCAGATTTTTAAACCAGGTAATTTGGGGCAGAATATTGTATTATAAATATGCCGTAACTTATTTCTCTATTTTGATAACGATTTCTAGTATTTTATTATTTTAAAAAGGCAGTGAACATCCTACTACATGTATTCTTCTGCATTGCAGGGTGTACATGCAGTTTTGATTTTACTTGATAGGCAAAATTTACCTTCTCATTAGGGATATTTAGGAATCGATCGGTATCTGAAGAATTAGTTTAATATTCTAGGTACAAATGGCATCTGCTGTGTAGGTTTTAAAGTCTCAGCCAACGTGGAGATAGGAAAAGTTTGATTTCAACATCCTATAAACAATGTTAAATAACCTGCTATATAAAAAGCAATCAAAAGGGGCATCTTAAGTTCCTGGAGCTGAAAATACAATTTATCAAAGTTTGCAGGAAATCATGCAAGTGGTATTCACAGAGTGATTTATGGCTCTAAATTCATTTACCAAGAGAAAAATGATTGCGTACCAATAAAGCATTCAACTCGACAACTGGGAAAAGAATCTCAGAGTAGAGAACAAACAAGAGAGAAATAGTAAAAGACAGAAATCGATGACAAATAGAATAAACCAAATGGAAGAGATGACTAACCAAGAATATAACATTTTTAAAAACGATTCTTTGAAAAGATAAATAAGAGGGACGAAATGATGAGAAAACTCAAGAAACAAATATGGGAAAACTACAGAACTGTCACTGCAGTGCTTTCCTCAGTTCATTCTTCCTCTGTGGCAGCCAATCTGGATCTGCGTGAGGTGGTCTCCTCCAGATTCTAACCGACCCAAACCCCTTGGGTTTCCTCGGGGTTTTCTCATCGTTTAAACTTTAGTAACTCAGATGCGTCAACCTTCCTCCTACTATTTAGGGAGATTGAGACAGAATGAGCAAAAAGAATGAATTAGCTTTCTATTATTCCTGGGACTGATCGCATTTATATTGTAATTCCACATAGAAATGCTGTAACTTTAAGAAAAAAATGTATGTGTATATGTATATATATAATAGAGAGAGAGACCACTTATATATATAGGTCCTTTTGGAGAAACTAGAATCCTGTAGAAGGGTGTACAACATATACAGGGTCTTCAAAATGTTAGGAACTTAGTAAAAAACAATCTTTAAGAACCAATTTTGAAATAAATCGATGAGAAGTGGTCGACTCACATATGACTGCTAGGACCATAGTGAATTGTCTTTAATTTCAGAAAATGTTTTCAGTGTCTAAGGAAGTTCTCTTTAACGCAATTCTGGAAAGAGGTTTGTTCTTACTGTTGATCGTACCACCACAATTAATGACAAGAGTATATTTCATTTTGGCAGAAGATTCATTTATAAGGAAGAGATTAACTCATATTTTAGCAGAGAGTATCTATTTCAGTCCTAACAAAGACTTTTTTCAACTTCAGGATATATGAGATTTTTTTAAAAGGCGCTCAAGGAAAACCAATGAATTCTTTCCAAGTTATCTTTTCGAATGGGACAGAATTAACTGTGAGTCACATGGGTCAAAGGAAAACAGATAAAGGGACTGAGAGATGCTCCCCAATTTCTAAATAAGATAACCTTTTTTTAGTTCTTTGTTTTGTGGTTCATGCGAAACCTCCAAAAGTGATGGAAGGAAAAGCACTTGAAACCTCCAGGTCCTAAGCCTGGAAAAGCTAAGATGAAGGTCACACAGGTAAAAACAGAGTATCTTGCCACGAGACCAAGACACTGGGAGACAGTGTAGTGAAGCACCAGAAGACAGATATTCAGCCCTGACGTATTCTGTGTCTAGGCAGGTATCTGTTACCTAATCAACTAAGCAGGGCTAATGGATTTTTATGATAGGCAGAGCATTTCTGTCTCTAACCAGAGATAATTTTATCAGAAACAGAATTGTAATGAGTCTGGTCTGATTTATAATCTCATTGGGATTCTAAGAAACAGAATAAGCCATTCATTCAATCTTTCATTTATTGAGCAAATAAATATTGAGCTCTTTGTAGGTAGGAACGATAAATGTACCTAGGCACTGAAGATATAAAACTAAATCAT